TACTGCATGTTCAGTTGATCAATATTATAAATGAAGGCGAAATCTTTATACCAAGTTTAATAGTGAATGAAAAATCCTTACAATTAAAAATAGGATGAGGAAAATTCAGTACATTCAGTTATATCCTTCAATCTTCTGCTTTAAAACACATCAAGAAACTAAAGCAAGAAAAGCTCAACTGTCCCATGCTGCTGTTCACTAAATATACGATTATCTTTCTAAGTAAGACTTTTCAACGTGCTGCTTTTTACATTTCTAATAGCAGAAGTAACCGCTGTTCTTGGGGAAGAAAGAACTGAAACCAGCCAAACATTAAAAGTCATGATGGCATTTAGGTGTGAGAGAAAGTTTATCCCTTAATTGCTTGCCTACTTCCCATTCACACTTAATATTGGGGGTACAGTTTGTTGAGTATTTTCCAGAGAGCACTTTTCACTTCTTTGTTCCTAAGGCTGTAGATCAAGGGATTCAGCATGGGAATCACCACTGTGTAAAACACAGAGGCTATTTTGTCTGTGTCCATGGACTGGCTGGAGTTGGGCTGTAAGTACATGAAGATGATTGTGCCATAGAAGATGGACACAGCAGTGAGATGGGAAGCACAGGTGGAGAAGACTTTTTTCCGCCCTTCAGCGGAACGCATCCTTTGAATGGTGATGCATATGAAGAAGTAAGAAATGAGGATGACCAGGAGGGTGAAAAAGACGTTGAAGCCCACCACAAAGAAGACCACCAACTTGCTGATGCGCGTGTCAGAGCATGAGAGAGCCAGGAGTGGGGGAATGTCACAGAAGAAATGATTAATCTCATTAGAACCACAGAAGGAGAGTCTGAAGGTGCCTGCTGCATGGATAGAGGCATTGAGGAAGCCAGAGACATAGGAACCAGTAGCAAGGAGAGCACACACACCTGCTGTCATGGTGGTGGTGTAATGAAGAGGCCTACATACCGCTGCATGGCGGTCATAGGCCATGGAGGCCAGGAGGTAGCACTCAACAGTGGCAAACCCCACAAAGAAGAAGAACTGAGCTGCACATCCATTGTAGGAGATGGCCTTGTCCCCTGACTGCAATGCAGCCACCGTTTTGGGGGCTACAGCTGATGAGTAACCCAAGTCTACAAAGGAGAGGTTACTGAGGAAAAAGTACATTGGAGTGTGGAGATGGGAGTCTGAGTGGATGATCACCATCATTGCTCCATTCCCAAGCAGGGTTATGAGGTAGATGAATAAAAATGCCAGGAGGAGGGGTATCTGAAGATTGGGGTCATCTGTTAATCCCAAGAGGATAAACTCTGTCACTTCTGTTCTATTCTCCATTGTGGTCAACTTGAATTAGCCTGGTGATTAAAGAAGAGGCATCAACCAAATTCAAATGAAAGTACGAGAAGGGATGATGGGATGATAAAAAAGGAGAAAACTAATGTATAGAGAGAACGTACTGTGTGTAAGACTCATGCTAGAACCCTCTGTTATATTATAGCTTTTAATTCATATGAGATAGGTGCTATTATGACTATCTTACAGACAAGAAAGTTAAGGCTCAGGGAGCTGAATATTGAGCAAGATAGTCTATTTAACAGTCACAATCAAAGTTCACCCCTTTATATTTCTGAATCCAAAGTCCATACATTCATCTTGAATTCTTTAACATATTTACATGATATAAATACAAATTATGATACGAATATGATTGTATGCATTTAATTATTAAAAATAAAAACATCCATCACTCAATGTCTTCCACATTCTACTTCCAATAGTATAGCCTCACTAAAGATTTTCTAAATTTATTTTTCCTTAAAACAACACAAGTTTATTCTCTCAAAGTTCAGGAGGCCAGAAGTCTCAAATCAGTTTCACTGGGCCAAAATCAAGGTGTTGGCAGGACAAGGTGGTGGTGCCCTCAAGGTCTGTTTGATACTAAATCCAAAGATCTTAACCACAACTTTTGAAGCCTTTATAAATTAATCCCTCAACAGTAGTTCAACTGAAAGGGAGTATGGTATATTTAAATATGAGGATGTATTTATATATATATTTAATATGGAACTACAAATTTGATATATACAAATGTTTTTGTGTATCTGTGTATATGCATATGTCTTTTTTCACCCCTTATCAGAAGTCTGTTGTAGACCCTAATTACAGTTAAGTCCTCCTTTCTCTGCCTCCTCAAAGCACTTGAGTCTTAGCTGATTATTGTACAATTAGTTGGGCAACTACTCACTCTTCGCCTAGCTCTAAGCCCCTTGGGACGGTAACTGTCTTCATCCTCTCTGGTCCACCCACCTTATCATGGCCCCCCACACACATATATAAATATTTGGTGAATCGAACGGAACATCAATAGGAAAGTATAGAAACATTTTTCACGCTCTTTAATTCCACAACAAACCGCCTATTGTCCTCTTGTCTACCAGGCTTGTGCTTTGGGCCAAAATATTAGCTTAGACTTGTCGTATGAAAAATGTTCAGGAGTAACAGTGAGTTTGCAGATGGTCAGGCCTGGAGACAGGCTTGTGTCCTCATTTGAGAGCACTCTTTCTCTCCTATTTTTGTTCCCCAACCTCAGGTGTTCACAGGCTTTCCCCACTCCTAGTAGCAGAGTGAGTGGGAGCAGGCTCAGAAGAAATGAGGGAGAAAATGTTAGAAGAGAGGAGGAAAAAGGAGAAAACAGGAATTAAAGGAGAAAGATGCTTCAACTCTGCTGGACTTTAGCTTACCTTGAAGAGTAACAGCAGCCATTCGATTGGTGACACAAAAAGAAGGGGATAAGGTAGCTTGTCATTTCTGGATGACCATTACACACACACGATGTGGCTAGTTTCATAAGAACTGGCTCAGTCAGCTTGGTACATTACTATCCAGTAATGTACCAATTGACTTTCTGACCAGTAGCACTTTCCATTATATTTATCCAGCCTTTTTGACTTTTCTTTTGACTTCTGACATGTGTGTATACTCTCTAATTTTAGCAGACACAGTATCCTGTAATCTATGACAGGCAGTGTTCTGATCTTACATATTTGGAAACAGAAGGATGTGGTGCCCCTCGAGGTCACATAACTACTTAACTGTAAAATCTGTACAATTCCAGAGCCTGATTTTTCAGCCTCAGCACTACTGACATTATGAGCTAGACAGTTCTTTGGTTCAGGGTGTGGTGGGCAAGAAGGAGTGCTGTCCTGTGCATTGTAAGATATTTAGCAGTTTCCCTGGCCTCTTTGTACTCATTAGATTCTAGTAACACCACTACCTCCCATTTGTAACAGTCAAAAATGTCTCCAGATGTTGCCAAATGTCCCCTGAAGGGTAACATTCCCCTGATTGAGAACTGCTGTTCTCAAGTTTATAAAAAACAGTGGTTCTAAAGTTTATAAAACTCTTTTTGCATTCACTTCTTAATTATTGCATGACTAGAGAGAGAGAGACAGCAGATATAGACATGAAGAAACTGAGGCTCAGTGAGGTGAAGTGACTGGTTTAAAGTCTAGAACTCTGGCCAAATACTGCTGCTTATTGGCAGAGGGATCCCAGGAAGGGATAACTGCTTGCTAAGTACTGTGGTCCTTTGACTAAAGAGATATTAACCCTCCCATATCGTAAACCAACCTTTTCCTAGACACAAGGTAGGATGAAAACCTGGAAAAACTCCAAGAATAAAATTCAGCTGACTTGGGGTGGATTCTGAATATTTTTCCAAAATATCTTCTCGAATGCTTATTAGATCAATTTCCTTGGTTAATATTGACCACAGGAGTCTATTCACTTAAGCTGTAGGTTCAGTTTTTAAAAGCCATTACACACCCCCCACACACCATATTGAACTGCCGCTGACTGCCATCTTCATCTATCAGCAATTAATCTTCAAGGTACTTCTTTCTGTGTTCCCTTGATGGGCAACCCTTTCTATTACGCATTGCAGTCTCTGTTAATAAATGTGTTGAGATCCAGTGCAGCAAGGAGAAATCTGGAGTCAGTGCCGAGAGAAAAGACCTCATTTACCCAGCACCAACCCTGGGAGGCTGCAAGGCCTGAATCCAAATCCTGCCACTGCCGCTGCTATATCTCCTCCCACTCAAGTCCTGCAAAACCCAGGCTTTTCTGCATGGGCCTAAAATAAATATCAGAAGGAGTCTTGAAAGAGAAAAAATATCTTTAAAATATCTAAGGTTGAATACTGAAATACCTAAGGTTGAAATATTAAGTCAAAAACTGAAAAAGCATTAAAATTTAAGAAATTATTATTGTTATAAAGAGATAAGGAGAAGTCTAAGCCATTAAGATAGCTTGGAAATAAAAAGTTCCATCAAAATTGCTTCTAAAGGGGTTTGAAGCATCACCCCCAGTCATAACAGCCCTGTTTGGGGAGTTCTAAAGAAGATTCTCAATGGAATAAATTCCATAAGGGAAGAGACAAGGCCTATATTGTTTGTCAGTGTTTTGTGCATTATTATCCACTACCTACACTCAAGGCAGCCACACAGTAGACTCAACTATTTGTCAAGTGGATGAGTGAATTAGAATCTCAGCAGTTGAGTTAGAATAAGAGCTTTAATGCTTACTTGCTGTGGGACTGTAGGCAAGTCAATCTTCCTTTATAGACAGAAGATAAAGTAAGATAAAATATAAGAAAATTCAGCCAGTGTGTGACCTCTAGCAGGTGCTCCATAGAAGCTAATTAATCAATCTTTTTATTAAACTGTAGGCCAATCATGTGAAGTTATTTCCCAGGTTTTGTTAACACCAGTTGGTAGCAACACCCCATCTAGCAATGACTATGGCAATGGCTGTCTAATTAAAGGTAACCCAGAATTACTTATGGGAAACTTCTGTCTCTATTCTTGTGAAATGTAGCAGAGGAGGTTGGGGGAAATTGAATGAAGAGTCTTTTTATATACCTACTTCCGAGCCTCTTTTTTTTTTTTTTAGACGAACCCGTTATTTCTACCTACAGTGTGAAGAATACTGCTTTTTAAAAAGGTCGGGGAAAACATACCTATGTCCTTGGGAATTATGAGATCTCAATTCAGAACTGCTTCAACATTGGACTTTTTGAAGTCTGAAAAAGAAAAGAAAAGAAAAGAAGAGCTGTTGGTCTCTGAGGACCTTGGATTTCAAATAGTAAAAGATTTCCTGAGGCTATGTGATAAAAGTGTAAAGGCAGTTCAGCTGCCGCTGCAGTTTGCTTGAGACTGTAAGTGAGCCATACCAAACTGTGTGAAAAGTCTGAGATCAGCTAGAAACTAGTGCCTATGTAGATCTGGGAGCCTCTGAAGGCGGGTTCCCTAAGGTCTCAATTCCAATCCAAGGCTCAGCAACATACAAACAAGCAATCAAAACACCACTTTCCTGAGGGAACTGAAACATTATTATGATATGGAGGCACCTCGAAGATCCCTTAGGGGACACAGGGGAGTCCTGGCTCTTCTAGTCACAGGCTAAGATTATTGATGAGCAAATTGTGTCAAAAAATGCTTTCAAAGGAGCTTGAGGATCCAGCCACTGCACACTCAGCCCACAGATTTCCTGTGATTATTGCAAGTTGGCCCTTTGGGGAGAAATTTTCAAAATGTCAGATTATAAATGATAAATTTTATCAGAATCTCCATTTTCCCAAACCCAGCTCTGTCTACAAAGTCAAAGTTTCAAAGAGCTCTGTGAATCAAAACATTTCCAGGAATTTTTTTCCCAATCAACCTGGTTTTAAATGAATTTTAACATGGTGCCTACAAGAAGCGAAGGATTTCTCTATTTCGGCTTCTGATAAATTTATATGTATATAATATATTTATATAAAATATAATATAGCTTCCTATGTTTCAAGCCCTTGGTTCAGTATATATTTGTATGTGTTATTTCACTTAATGTTCTTATAACTCTATGAGAAATATATTATCTTTTCAATTTACAGATGTGAAAACTTCTGTATATACCTAGCACTTAGATCTTTCTCTAATATTATTCTCTAATAAAAGAAACCAGGGCTCCTTCGAGAAAAGGCTGGTTCTAGCACTGGAGCCGGGATTATACCAGAGAAGCCTGGAGCATCTTGTAGTTCCAGAAAGTGAGGAAATGCTCAAGTCTGTCTGACCCAAATTCTATATATTTTTACACTGTGCTTTACTGCTTCTCTTGGGAATAAATGTGGAGAAGCAGAGATGTTCTCGGAATCTAGGAAACAATATTTCTCTTAAGTTCTCACAAATGCATGTTCCACTACAGTCAGTTACAAAAGTAGAGCTTATTTACTCACTTTTTTCTTTGCTCTCATGAAAACATTTCCAAGAAAAAGCCCCCTGTTAGAAAAATTATTTTTAACAAAAGAAGACATATAAAGTGGCCAAGCAAGTGGAAAGCTAGGTGGTAGGAGTCCAAGGATATTTTTGCACACTGGTGGAATTTTGTAGCATCTAATCACCTAACCCACATGTCCAACTCTGAAGACTTAGGTTTCTTCCTCATTATTTAGTTGACCAATATAACAACCAAGGAAAAAACTAGAGAAAGAAAGAGGGAAAAATGGCTGAGGACAGATAGAGAAAGCAAAGAAAAGAAGGAAGGAAGGGGAGGGAAGAGAAGAGGAAGAGAGGGAGAGGAAGATGAGGAATGAAGAGAAAACTTCACCTGTAGGATCAAGACTCTAACAACTGAGACAATCTAGCCTATATATCTGGCTTTATAAAGTAATTTAGTACTCTCCTTTATCAGTGTTTAATATTCTAAAAAATTAAACAGATAAAAATGAAGACTATTAACATGGTGAAGTGAGGTGGTTCAGGGTTTTGGCAAGTAAGAGGCCTAGAATCAGCCACTTATGAATGGATAACAGATGAATCATTAATCTTTTTGAACCTCATCATTTTTTCATGGCACCAAATATATCCTCTTTCTTTTCCCTCCAAAGACTCTTAATTCCTGGGAAATACTTATGCTTTTCCACTTTGATGTCTCCAGCGTCTTCACTGTTTAGTCTCCTCACAAGATCAGTTTGACTCTTCACCTCCAAATAGTTACACCCTGGGGTTTTAGAAAAACTAAAAGGCAGAAAAGGGCCAATTCTGAATTTTTGATTAGTTCAAGGCCAGATACAAGGCTCTGTCCATCCATATTTGAGTTAATGCTGCCACCCTGAGGCCTTCCCAAGCTTTTCACCTGATGAGTCGTTCCCAGTGGTGGGGCTGGGAAAATGAAGACTTGTCTTCCTTGCCGCAATGATCAGTAAGTTCATACAGGAAAAATGCTTTGGAATTACAGGAAGAATCAAGAAACCACCCATCTGCTTAAAAGGTTAATTTCATGGCCACATAGAATGTTAGCACCTCTTAGGACCTTGGAGATCACCTAGGTGTTAAGGTATACCAGGTACCACAGCCCACAGGTGACAATTACAGTCCTAGAGCCAAATGTACGGATTCAAATCCCAGTCCTCCCTTCTAGCTCCTGGAGGGGCTCTTGCAAGTCACTTAGGTTCTCCATTCCTCTCTTTCTCATTATGGGACTGTTGAGAATTAAAGTTAATCAACATAAGGTACAAATAAACTTTGGAGATACTGGGGGTTTGGTTTCAGACTATTCCAATAAAATGAATATCACAATAGAGCAAGTCACGCAAATTTTTTGCTTCCTAGTGTATATAAAAAGCTATGTTTACATTATACTGGGTCTACTAGCATTATGTCCAAAAATGTACATAATTTAAAATACTTTATTGCTAAAAAATGATGATGATCACCTGAGTCTTCAGTAAGTTGTAATTTTTTCTTTTGCTGGTGGGCAGCCTTGATGGCTGCTGACTCATCAGGATGATGCTTGCTGAAGGTTGGGGTGGCTGTGGCAATCTCCTAAAATAAAACAGCAATGAAGATTGCTGCATCGATTGACTGACTTTCTTTTCTCTCTTTTTTTTTTTTTTTTTTTTTTGAGACAGAGTCTCTCTCTGTAGTCCAGACTGGAGGGCAGTGGTGTGATCTTGACTCACTGCAACCTCCACCTCCCAGGTTCAAGTGATTCTCATACCTTAGCCCCCTGAGTAGCTGGGATTACCGACACACGCTACCAGGCCTGGCTAGTTTTTGTATTTTTAGTAGAGACGGGGTTTCACCATGTTTGCTAGGCTGGTCTGGAACTCCTGACCTCAAGTGATCCACCCACTTTGGCCTCCCAAAGTGCTAGGATTACAAGCGTGAGCCATTGTGCCTGGTTGATTGACTTTCTTTCATGAAAAATTCCTCTTAGCATGAACTGTTGTTGATAGCATTTTATCTATAGTAGAACTTCTTTCAAAATTGTATTAAGTCCTCTCAAACCTTGTCAGTGCTTTATCAAATAACTTTATGGAATATTTGAAATCCTTTGTTGTCATTTCAACAACATTTACAGCTTTTTCCCCCAGAGTAGATTCTATCTCAAGAAACCACTTTATTTTCTCATTCATAAGAAACAATTCCTCATCTGTTCAAGTTTTGTCATGAGATTGCAGCAATTCAGTTACATCTTCAGGCTTTACTTCTAATTCTAGTTCTCTTGCTATTTCCACCACATCCACAGTTACTCCCTCCACTGAGGTCTTGAACCCTTCAAAGTCATCCACAAGAGTTGAAATCAATTTCTTCCAAACTCTTGTTAATGTTAATAACATGAACTCATGAGTCACAAATGTTCTTAGTGGTATCTAGAATGGTGAATCCTTCCAGAGGTTTTCAATTGACTTCACCCAGATCCATCAGAGGAATCACAATCTATTGCAGTTATAGCCTTACAAAATGTATTTTCTAAACAATAAGACTTGAAAGTCAAAATTACTCCTGGAACCATGGGCTGCAAAATGGATATTGTATTACCAGGCATGAAAACCACATTAACCTCTTTGTCCATCTCCATAAAAGCTTTAGGTGACTAGGTACATTGTCAATGAGCAGTAATATGTTGAAAAAAAATTTTTTTCTAAGTAGTAGGTCTCAATAGTGAGTTTAAAATATTCAATAAACCATGCTATAATCTAGTCTTTTCCATTTATAGAGCACATGCAGAGTATATTTAGCATAATTCTTAAGGGTCTTAGAATTTGCAAAATGATAAATGAACATTGGCTTCAGTTTAAACTCACCAGCTTCATTAGCCCCTAACAACAGAGTCAGCCTGTTTGTGGAAGCTTTGAAGTCAGGCATCAATTTCTCCTTTCTAGCTATGAAAGTCCTAGATGGCATTTCTTTCAATATAACGGTGTTTTGTCTGCATTAACAATTTATTGTGAGGCTGGGCACGGTGGCTCATGCCTGTAATTCCAGTATTTTGGGATGCTGAGGTGGGTGGGTCACCTGAGGTTAGGAGTTCGAGACCAGCCTGGGCAACATGATGAAATCCTGTCCCTTTCAAAAAAAAAAAAGCAAAAGGAAAAGAAAAATTAGCTGGGTATGATGGCTTACAACTGTAATCCCAGCTACTCAGGAGGCTGAGGCATGAGAATCACTTGAATCCGGGAGGCGAAGGCTTCAGTGAGCCAAGATCTCACCATGGCACTCCAGCCTGGGCGACAGAGGGAGACTCTATCTCAAAATATATATATATATATATAGTTTAGTGTAGTGACTTCCATCAGTTATCTTAGCTAAATCTTCTGGATAACTTGGTGTAGTTTCTACATTAGCACTTGCTGCTTCACTTTGCACTTTTAGGTTCTAGAGATGGCTTCTTTTCTTAAACTTCATGAACCAACCTCTGCTAGTTTCCAATTTTTCTTCTGCAGCTTCCTTAACTTTCTCAGCCTTCACATAATTGAAGAGAGTTAGGGCCTTGCTCTATTAGGCTTTGACTTAGGGAAATGTTGTGGCTGGTTTGATCTTCTATCTAATATTTTCTCTGAATCAGCAATAAGGATATTTCACTTTATTATCATTCAGGTCTTTGCTGGAGTAGCACTTTTAATTTCCTTCAACAGCCTTTTTATTTGCTTTCTCAACTGGGCCAATTGTTTGACACAAGAAGCCTAGCTTTTGCCCTGTCTCAGCTTTTGACATGCCTTCTTCACTGAGTTTAATCATTTCTAGCTTTTGATTTAAAGTGAGAGATATGCAACTCTTCCTTTCTATTGAACATTTCGACTCCATGTTAGGCTTATTAATTGGCCTAATTTCAATGCTTCATGACTTTCAGACTTATTTCTACCCATCAGTTTCTCAGAATTTTCTGAGTGTCTGCAGACTCCGCAGCCCCACTCAGGTAAATGCACTCTCTATGGATGTGTTTTCCTTCATCTCCTTTACCAAATCAAGGCCATCTAATATTAACTTTGCCACAATCTCTCCATCTAAATCCATCCTATCCTGCTCTGCCTTCCTACCTCAGAATTTCCCCCTCATCTGTAGCAGGCTGCCCCCTTCATCTATGCCATTGATCCATCTCTACTTACTTTGGTGAGACTGTACTGTGGCAATTACTCCTGTCCCTCCACCCTCCCTTACTCATTCCTACCCCATTTGTCCACAGACATTCTAAAGTTACCCATCCCTTCCCCCAAAATGCTCAAGAATCTTTCTCCCATCCTAATATACTCTTGTGCTATATGAGCATCCTTCCTTCTACCATCGAAATGATCAAAAGTGGTCCACAGCATCTTCCATTCTCTCCTAATCCACTGCATTGTAGCTTCAACTGTTTCTACTCCATTATGTTGAAATAATATTTTTTCTTTGGTTTATTTATATTATTTTTAATTGACAAATCATAGTTGTATTACATTTATGGAGTATGATGTGATGTTTTGATATGGATATACAATGTGGAGTAATTAAATCAAGCTAATATAGTCATCACCTCTTGACGTTTTTTTGTTTTTTATTTTTTAATTTTTTGAGATGGAGTCTCACTCTGTCGCCCAGGCTGGAGTGCAGTGTCGCGATCTCGGCTCACTGCAAGCTCCGCCTCCCGGATTCATGCCACTCTCAGGCTTTAGCCTCCCTAGTAGCTGGGACTACAGGCGCCCGCCACCACACCCAGCCAATTTTTTGTATTTTTAGTAGAGACAGGGTTTCACCATGTTAGCCGAAATGGTCTCAATCCCTGACCTCATGATCCGCCCGTCTCGGCCTCCCAAAGTGCTGGGATTACAGGCGTGAGCCACCGTGCCAGCTTTGACATTATTTTGTGGTGATACATTTGAAATTTACTCTGTAAGTTATTTTGACATGTTATTATTGACTATAGTCACCCTGATGTGCCATAAATCTCAACACTTATTTCTCTTGTCTAGCTGAAACAAGATTCTTAAAGGTTGCTCCAAGACTAGCTTCACAGATGTGCAAAACAGTACAGTCGCACAAGACTCTGTGCTCAGAAAAGTCCCACCCTTGGAGACTAACATCTTGTGATTGGCATATTCAAATTATTTAAAATGTTATCTTTGAATTTGCATTTTGTAGGTAAAGTCCAATGGGACAATGGAGCAAACACAGAAAACTTGGAACCCCAGCTCGTGCGTGGTCACACATTCTGCTGCCTCCCATTCTCCCCTCAATCCACTGCATTCAACACCGTTGATGACTGTTGCCTACAAGATGATGTCCCGCTTCCCAAGCCTGACATTCAAAGCACTCTAACCCTGAATAGTTTTTCCAGTTTTTATTTCTCTTGATAGCCACCAAGCATCCTACTTTCTATCCACATAGACCCCAAAGTGACCATGCCTCAGTGTTTGGCACACCATGGATGCTCAATGAACGGGGTCCGTCCTTCACTCACCACACCATGTATGCTGTCCCCCTTTGATGTATTTCATGCTGTTACCTCAGTTTGGAATGCCCTAGTTTTATTTATTTATTTTTTTAATCACTTTTACTTGTAGGTTCAAATTAATGCCATCTCCAAAGTGAAGTTTTTCTCTGATGTTTTAAACAATTATGTGTGTCCTATTTATAACTTTTTTTTTCAAAATGCCTTGTGTTATTTGCTCCTGTATATTATGTCTCCTTTTGTTTCTTTCCCCAGAACCCAATACTTTAGCTTCTCCCACTCCTATGTTCCTACCTATTACACAATCCTGTCCAGAAACTATCTTGTATGGACAAACTCATATTAGGGACTGAATGTGGGGGTCCTTCCTGGGCTGTACATTTTCTGAAGGCAGACTATGTCCTACTCATCTTAGGTTTCTTCTGGAACCTAGAACAGTGCCTTTTGACAGCAGGACCTACTGAATTATGCAAATCCCATCTGATTCTCTATTTAATAAATTGGAGAAGGCACAGGTGTATCAATTTAGGAGCCCACCTCAGGGAAATGTATTTGTCCTAAACAAGCTAGCTTTCAGATCACTAGATGTGATAGTTTAAAGTAGCACTGTATGCTTGCCATTATGAACAAACATGGAAAATTTGTAAACTGATAAACCCTGGGGCTATTTGCTAATGAAAATAGTTTAAACCAGTGTCTTGAAATATATCTTGCTCCCACTTTTGAAAAGGAAACCGTATCTGTCTGCTATGTTACAAAACACTTGCATATGTAAACACATGGAAGATGGAACACTCTTGTTCCTAAGGATAACTCTCATCTGGGCTCCTGCCTCCATATCATCTCTATCCTTTAGAATCTGGTTTAGTTATGTCACCTTACATCTCTTAAATCACCAATATCTGCATCTCTGTGGTCTCTGTCCAGTTACATCCAAAAATCACTTCTCAACTTTGATCATCTTTGGATCTAAACTTCTAACTCAACTTTCTTTTCCCTGAGTGAATGAATAAATGCTCAAAAACCAAAGGATATTTATGAAGGAACAGAACTAGTAAGTGGTAGAGCTGGGATGGAAACTCAAACCTGAAGTCAAGACCCACAACATAAAGTCTTCCCCACCTTTTAACTGCAACTCAACTACATCAGTCTCTAATAATTCATGTACCAAAAGACCACAATATTCCTGTCAGTGGGTTTGGTATTGGCTAACAGAGTACCATCCATCACCTAGCTGTTGATCAGAAGGCATATGGAATTATATCTTTGCCAAGCTGAATTATTTTACGTAATAGTGATAACAAAGACTTTCCTAGAAATTTCCCCTGGATTATAGTTAGACCTATGGCAGGCAGTGGAAAATCTTGGCCCTGGAAGACTCCTGAGCTCTTTTCTCATGGCTATGCTTCCTTGACCTGGGTGAGCTGTTTTCTATCTATGGGAAGTGGCTAACTGGATAGATTTCCTGTGCCATGGAAATTGTTCACTCTTGAGTATTACTTTGTCAATATGCTGCTGCAAAGGAAGATTATGAGCTCAAACTCAAGCACTTCTAATCAGCATTTTCAATTCCATCCGCTTTCATCCCGAGCCTTAAAAAAGATTTCTAAAATCATACAAAAACAACTAAAAGCCTGCTATGGTTTCTCGGTCTCCATGGAAATGCTAGGAATGGATGTTGTGTTGACTTCTTCACACATCTCTTGGACTATTTTGTTAATGCCTTTTATGTATGGTACTTGGAAGTTTACAAAGCCCTTTCTCACTTATTATCTCAGTTAATCCCCACAACAAACCCACGTGGGAAGTATTATTACCCATGTTTAACATATTATGAAACCTAAATTTAGAGAAGATAAGTGGTTTAACCAAGGTTTACAAGTGGTAAATTCACTTACAGTTTGCAAGTGGTAAGTTCAACATTTAAATTTTGGTTTGTCTGATGCCATGGCTGCTACTCTTGCCACTATAACCAAAACTGTGTAGCCTACAGTAGATCACTTTGGTGCCCTAGTGCCCTTGCTTGTCCCTTGAAAATTCACCTCATGGGTACTTTACATTGTTGATATACAGCCTAAAATAAAGCATCTCCGACAAGGAATTAACAAACTTTAGTTCTGTTTCTAAATCAAGTCACCTTGACCTATTCATATAATCGACAGCTTCTTCCACAGGTAAATGGAAATAATAATCCTTGCCCACTTTCTCCCTTCTGTTATCTCCTCTACTAATACTACCTTAGATGAAACACATTAAGCTTCATAGAGCTGGGAATATTATAAAACTTTGCAAATACATGGCTTACCACAAATTCAGCCTTGTTATTACCAGTAATGTGAAGACCTTTGTTATGATTTTCTTCCTTTTTTTTTTTTTTTGAGACGGAGTCTCGCCCTGTCCCCCAGGCTGAAGTGCAGTGGCGCGATCTCAGCTCACTGCAAGTTCCACCCACTTCCCGGGTTCGCGCCATTCTCCTGCCTCAGCCTCCCGAGTAGCTGGAACTACAGGCCCCCGCCACCACGCCCGCCTAGTTTTTTGTATTTTTTAGTAGAGACGGGGTTTCACTGTGTTAGCCAGGATGGTCTCGATCTCCTGACCTTGTGATCTGCCCGCCTCGGCCTCCCAAAGTGCTAGGATTACAGGCGTAAGCCACCGCGCCCAGCCGATTTTCTTCCTTTTAACCTTAACCCTCGATAACTTTACCCAACAAATGGCATCAGTTCCCCACTCCTATCTGTTGGCACTTACTGCTAGGTGCGCACTGCTGCTTCCTACTCAAAGTGCCTGTGACTTAGAAGAAGGGCTTTCTTTGGCCTCAGAGTACATGCAGCTTGAGTACAAGGAAGACACAGGGGGGTGTAAGGGTTGGTGGACCACCCCTTGTACTCTACAATGAATCCCAGAAGTTCTCTAAGTATTCAATTCCAACTTCCCAAGACAGTAACCTGTTCATTAATGCAAACTGATTTGGCCTCCTCGCCTTTTCTTTTTTGTTTGGTTTTTGGGTTTGTTTTGTTTCATTTTGTTTTGTTTTCAGGTGGAGTCTCGCTCTGTTGCCCAGGCTGAAGTGCAGTGGTGCTAGCTTGGCTCACTGCAACCTCAGCCTCCCGAGTTCAAGTGATTCCTCTGCCTCAGCCTCCCGAGTAGCTGGGACTGCAGGCCACGTGCCACCACGCCCGGCTAATTTTTTGTATTTTAGTAGAGATGGGGTTTTACTGTGTTGGTCAAGATGGTCTCGATCTCCTGACCTCGTGATCTGCCCGCCTCAGCCTCCCAAAGTGCTGGGACTACAGGCGTGAGCCACCGCACCTGGCCCCTCCTTGCCTTTTCTTTCTCACTTCTGTCTCTCCTACCTGTACATCTAGAGATCATCTCCTAGATAGACTACACATGTCCTAGTCTCAGCGTCCACTTCTAGAAAAACCCCAAACTGTGAGACAATCCAGGATAAGTAGTAGCTTCACCAGGTAGTTTGTGTAAGGGACTGAGTGACAATTCCCCCCACCCTGTCTTTCTTTTCCTCACAGAGAGTGTGTTATACGGCCCATCTTGCCTCCTTTACTGAAAGCTCTGAAAATTTCACCTTGCCCAACTCACAAATTCTCTTATATATCCTGTAACTTTCTTAAGTCCTACTTTTCCTCCCTTTCAAAATTTTCAGCTTGTCTTAGGAAAATCTCCAAGTTCTTCATTTTATTTTTGAGACTCCAGTATTTTCTAACTCGTGTCTGAAAATGCAAGAGCACCTAGAGACAGAAAGTCATATTTTCTAAGTATTACTGAACATAATGAAAATAACCACCTCCAACCTCCAAAGCACTGAAAAGTGTCCTTAAGGTCCCCCTCTCAGAATCACTATAAATGTCTTCTTTTTCCTCCTTAACTTCATATAAACCCAACTTTCTTTAAGTAGCACCTTTCAGGATGTAATGGGCTGAATGTATGTGTCATTCCAAAATATGTTGAAGGCCTAACCCCAATGTGGAAGTAAAGAGGTAATTAGGATTAAATGAAATCGTAAGTGTTGGGGCCTTGATCCGTTAAGATTGGTGTCCTTACAAGAAGAGACACCAGATCTCTTGTGGTCTCTCTGTCTCTCTCCCTCTCTTTGTCCCCTCTTTTCACCCTGTGAGGACAAAGCAAGAAGGCAGCTATCTGCACGCCAAGAAAAGAGCCCTCAATAAAGTCCAAACTTGCAGACCTTAATCTGAGACTTCTCATCTCCAGATCTGTGCGAAAATAAATTTCTGCAGTTTAAGACACCCAATTTATGGTATTTTGTTATGGCAGCTGTGCAGACTAAGACACAAGATAAATGTAAATTTATTTATCTTATAATTGTCTAATTTTTCTTTCTTTTTTGTTTGCAAGTGGGATATCAGGATGTTTTAAAACTATTTTTCACTATAAAGAGTATTGCAGTAATATCAAATATGTAATAGTTCTCTCTGGGTGATAATTAAACAAAGTAGCATGAATACCACGATTTCCAAAACAATTTTAAATCTCAAGAGGATGACAACACCCTCCCAACCTTTTTCTTCACCTTTGTAATAGTGACAGATACTGCAAAATTGGACAGGAGCAAGAAGTTTGTACTCTAAATATACAAGCTATCCACAGGATGACTTCACTTTAAACTATAGAGTTTCACTGTGCTCTGGTGTAAAAAGCATCAAGAATTGATCAAACACTATTTTTGTGTATTAGTTTTCCATGACGACACACAATATATGTTCTATACCAACACTGAGTTTATTTGTTCAATGTAAACAAAAAAAGAGAGTTTATTTGCTCACATACTTTCCTAGTCTATGATTAAGATGCTGCTATGGTAGAACTGAGTGGCTCAAAAAAAGAAAACACAGCCTCTCCATTACTCGGTTCTATGTTCCTCTGTGCTGGCCTCTTTCTCAGACAGCCTCCCCCTAAGTGATGATAAAAATATTTATCAGCAACAATGGGTTTTTATTATCACACAACTGGAATTCCAAAGAATGGTAATGTTCTTTCTGAATAAATCTAGTAAAGGTCACTGGCTTTGCTGGGTGTCACGTGTCTATCCCTGATCCAATCACCTTCCTTCAGAAGAGCAAAGGAATTTTACTGGTCAGACCTGGGACTGTACCCATTTCTGAGGCTGAGGTTAAAGTCAGCCTCGCCTAAACACGTGGACCAAGAATAGGAGATGCAGTTCTTTGTGGAGAAACTAGACTATAGGGGAAAACAGCTGAGAAATTTACTCCCCTTTCATTTCACGTCCCGTCCTCAATTATATCCAATATTATTCAACACAGCATATCCAAGTTCAAAAACATTAAAATCCAAAATCAAATTCTGTAAGTTAAAGTTTAGAGAAAGTAAAGTCTTTCTGATTTATTGGTCTGTTCATTTTCAGCTTTAGGAGTTTTTCCAGTAACACCTGTGATCTGAGACATCTCTCACTAGAATTGAGGTACTTAACCCAGGAAAAATGTTATTCCCATAATACAGTATTTATTGTGATTTAATGATATCCAAAATAGGAAGGGAAGATGGATGGCTCTCAATAGGATGCCAGGAAGTCTGTGCAATTGTCCAGAATCCATGGTCTATGAACCTAAACAGAGTGAGGAGACTTCCCCCCATGGAAAATCAATTCAGGCACTATACACTATATCTAGGGTAGGAGAATGTCCTACATAAACTGTCTCCTTTCTTATAAATTTGAGACACCACTGCCTTCTGGCAAAGTTATAAATTTGCAACAAGTACAACCCAAGCACCAGCTTTTACCTGAGATTTCTTTCTTTTTATCCTGTGGATCCCAGTAGATTTCCATTTCCCCACCGAGCTCTGTGTTCCCAGCACTGACGTGCTGCACTGATAGTAAGTTTTACCTGGTAAAACACAACCTCCACAATATTTTGGGGACAGGCAGTCTCTTTTTCAGTGTCATATTTCAGTGGCTGCCACCACTGCCTTATTGAGGACCTGCTTATGCCTAAGACACTCCCCTATAAAGGAAGTTGCTACTCTTTCTCACCTTGATTTCAGCTGGAAGATCTTTTCCAGACTGCCAAGCCGAAGCGGCTTTTGATGTTTCTCAGCGGTGCGCCCCTAGGGGCTCAGAAGAGCAATGCCTCTGCTGCATGTTCCTCAGGACACCAGCATTTCCGGGCTCTCCTCTGCCTTTGGGTTCTGTAAAGTTCTTAGACATGATCCCTCAGGATACTGACAATGCCTACTTGCTTACCTTCTACATTACCTTGAAACTCAGAAACTCCAGTATTTTCACCTTTTTTTTTTTTTTTTTTTTTTTTTTTTTTTTTTTTTTTGAGACGGAGTCTCGCTCTGCCGCCCAGGCTGGAGTGCAATGGCCGGATACGAATTCTTCACATCTCCTCCACAAAGCTTTCGGGAAACTGAGTCCTGCTTCTAACTTTGGAAGTAATTCAGTCTGGTTTAAGCCAAGCTGCGGAATCCATTCCCCCAGCAAAAATTACTGGTATGTGACCTAAGCTAGACCAGTCAGGATGAATCCCGGAACTTTTCCTTGCAAATGCTCGATAAAAGCACTCTTGCTCCCCCTACTGGTTGTGAAAAAAGAAGCATGCGCTGGCAGCCATACTACAACTCCAATTGTCTTTATCAAAGTATCACCTTGGAAGAGACTAGATTTACTTCAAAGAAAAACTGACCAAACTAATTGAGGGACTCCCCTTTGAGAACAGAGTGCCAACTCTAGAGCATATTCCTTTCTATATGTTTATATTCACTGGTGGAAAACCCCTGTCCTGTGAGGGTGGGTTTTATTTTTTAAACACCCTAGAAGTTACTCAAAACCAAAAGTAATTAGGTACGTGATCAATTTTAGTAATGACATTTCCAGGGTTTTTAAAAAGCAGAACTTTTCACTTGTGGGTAGTTTCCTTATTGCTAAAACACTGGTCCTGAAGTCAGTATCTCTTTTTGAGCATGTAAAACCACTTCCGTTAAATGTGGGAAGAAAATGTTTTCACTTCTTTATTGCATCTTAGTGAACTTTGGATTTTCTTTGACATTTAAAAATAGTTAAATTCTATTGAAGTCTCAAAATAGCTAATCCTTTTTTAAAAAAAAGTTTTAGCACCTGTACATTTTAAGGGCTAAAACTCCAAGTTTACTTTGTCAAATTGCCAGGGCAACCAAGAACAGCGCCATATTAACACCTGCGTGTGACATCGTTGACTGAAGACATTGCAAAGAGGATGTTTAAAAGTTGAATGTGTATTCTGCATAGTCTGGCGCTCTCAGACAGCCAAACAGGATAGAGGCCAGATGGTTCCATATCTGTGTGGCCTCCCACATATCTTACATGCATTTGGAGTTCCTATTTTATAGAATTAACTGTTGCCAATTCCTTATAACTCTCAAAACCCCTTTATTATCCATTCCAACAAAGGACATAGATATAATAAAGTTTGGCAAGAAACATTTAATCCATTTCAGTTCTCCCAAGTAGCACTATTCCTCTATCAATCTAAAGACACCAAATTTTGTCCTATTTTTAAAAATACCTCCAGTGAAGGCGTTTTTGCCAGTAACTTATTTCAGAATCAAGGATTCTAAGAGTCTGGTTTTTGTTATAACAAATAATCACACAATTATTTTTAAGACCATGGTGAGAAATATATTGTACTGATCTTCTCAATATCTCTTTTGCAGAAAGATGAGTCCTTGTGAAGCTTACTTTTATAAAAAGTAAACTGTAGGACAGTAAACTGATAGGACATAAGAAAGTCAGATTCTCTGATAACCTGGCAAGCTTTTCCACACTTTTACTTATAATACTTTGAGATGAACAAATGATTAAGAGGAATTTTTCTTTGAGGCTTGGCTTTCCTAATTCTAGATAATCATTTGAGATTTTACAGCATTTTTCTTCAGAGATGCTCTAAGAACAGCAATCTCATTTGTCTTCAGGAGGCAAATGTAAAATTGTGTGTTTCATTTTTTACTTTAGAAATGAATTTGTGGCCAGGCATGGTGGCTCACACCTGTAATCCCAACTCTTTGGGAGGTTGAGGCAGGCAGATCACCTGAGGTCGGGAGTTTGAGACCAGCCTGACCAACATGGAGAAACCCCGTCTCTACTAAAAATACAAAAATTAGCCGGGCATGGTGGCACATGCCTGTAATTCCAGCTACTCAGGAGGCTGAGGCAGGAAAATTGCTTGAACCCGGGAGGTGGAAGTTGTGGTCAGCTGAGATCACACCATTGCACTCTGGCCTGGGCAACAAGAGTGAAACTCCATCTCAGAAAAAAAAAAAAAAGAAATGAATTTGTAATGTATCTAATGGAGAGCCAGAGTTTCTCCTTCTGTAAACACAGTAATAAAAACAATCTTAAGAAGTTTTGTCATTTTAAAAAATGATACAATCATCTAAGTCCAGAAAATAAAATGGTTATGGGACCAAACTAAAAACAAAAATTAGTGAAAAGGAGACCCTCCTTTTAATTTCTTCCAATTAAAATTTTTAAAGTGTGCATTGGATGGAAGGAAACAAGAGAGTTGATATAATCATAACTGTACATAGTGCCTAGTATATGACACAGAAAGCACAAAGTTTATCTCCCAAACAAATATGACAATGAGTTATTGAAACCACAAGCTGATTTATTTATCAATGATGTCAGTACTTAAAGTTGTCCAGTTAAAATCTACTTCCTCTTGAAAAACAAAAATACACTGAAGGAAGATGCAAAGAGGTAGGAGTGGTATCATGATTTCACAGCAGTGATTGTAAGACAGCGAGCCACAGGGACATGGGAAAACTTGAAAAGAGACAAGTATCAGGACCAAATTAGAGAAGATCTGAGTAGGGCCATCAGTAGAGGTGAAAATGGAGAAACCTAAGGAAACCAGTGTTGGTATGAATTATGCAAGTGGAAAATACATCTGTAGAGGGACTAGATAGAAGGACCTAAATCTAACTCCAAGTACTTGATTGGAGAAGAGAGAAAGAGAATGTATAGAATTAACTGTATAGAAGCCTCAAAAATAAGATTATCAGCCTAGTCATGTAAAGTCTAGAAGTTCGTTTATTTGCTCATCACCTTTTTCTATAAGACTATTAAGCAGAAGGTCAGAACAGCAAAGTTACCCTTTCCTCTCCTCTCTTGGTTTAAATTGTATAAGGAACCTGAAGAGGCTGTGGATCAGTTGGCATTACAGTGGGAAGAGCTTATTGAAGCAAGGTTGACAATAGGTCTTGTCATTCTGCTCCCTGAAAATGCCCTTCGACAACTGTGTCAGGCAGAAAGCACACACAAAGTGCTCAGGATGGAACTTGTGCCCCATGGCACTGATACAACGGCCAGTGATGGGCTGTCCACATCCATGGCAGAGCGTTCCCCGGCGGTGATGGTAATGGAGCTCACAGAATGGACGTCCATCCAGTTCAAAGAAGGAACCAGTAGAAAAACTGGTGAAGCAGTCCTAGGGGTAGAGAGAAGAGAGAGAAAAGGAATGCAAATGTCAAGAGGTAAAATGTCAGCAACGTAAAATTTTCAGCCTTGAAATTCCTGCCAGTGACCTGCCAGCTACAGGAATTTCCCTCAGATTCTTGACAAATGGAGGCTAGATTGTCTGCTTGCAAAACAGACAAGCAAATGCCCACAATGGATTTGTATCTCGTTTCTCCTTTAGGATGCCCACATCCATTCCTCATTCAGGACTGCGAATCCTTTCACTAACTGCAGCTCTTCCTCTCAGAGAGGAGAACCCTTGACTTTCCCTAAGTCCAGAAGAAAAGTGATTATACAGACCCCACAAACAAAGCATTCTGGGTGCCAGACAGTGTCCATGGCTGAAAGGTAGTTTTCCAACACTGGACGATTGCAGCCACCACACTTGGGTGAGAACATGGCTAAGAAATCCTTTCGGCAATATGGCTTCTTGTCCTTCTCATGAAAGCCTGGAGAGAGAAAATCAGGAATTCACTGTTGCAGGTTGAGCCCTGAAAGCTACACTGGAGACTGAGAGGAGGCCCTTTCAATCTCAGTGTCCTTGTATTCAAAATAGGATGATTATTGTTACCTAATTCAAAGGGTAGTTGTGAGAAATAAATGAGATAATGCAGGTGAAGTGTTTGGCAATCTCAGTGTCCTTGTATTCAAAATAGGATGATTATTGTTACCTAATTCAAAGGGTAGTTGTAAGAAATAAATGAGATACTGCAGGTGAAGTATTTTGCCATTGTGTCTGGTTCATAGTAAACATTTAATAAGTGTTAGGGGCTATTGCTCCTCAGTGCCTTTGTACTAAGTATTCCCTTGGCTTGGATAGTTCTGTCCCAGAGCCTGATATAGTTGCCCTCTTCATGTGATGCAGGAATCACTCAAATATCATCTTATCAGAGAGGCACCTCTTCAGTCACTCCTTGTCACATCATCTTCTTTCACTGTCTTTATAGCATTTACCATTATCTAAAATCATCTTTGTGATCTGTCTGTCCTTACAGGAACATTAGCTCTGAGAGAAACTAGATATTGTTGATCTTGTCACCATTATATCTCCAGTATCTAAAACAGCATCTGGGAAGAAAAAAAAGTGTCTAATATTTTAAAATAAAATACTAGTAAATAATAATTTCCAAATGGATGCAAGATCTAGACACAATGACTCATATCACATATTTAAATTAAAAATAGATGTATTCCTCTTTTTTTTATTTTTTGTGTGGGTATATTTTGATTGTTTACCAGCAGTGTATGAAAATCCCAGTTCTTCCTCAGTCTTTATATCACTTGATATATCCAGATATTTCCTGTTTAATCAATCAAATGGATGTTATCTATCTATACAATGTTATCTCATGGTAGTTTTGATTTGTATTTCCCAAACGGCTAATGATACTTAGGGTTTTTTTTTTGTTTGTTGTTGTTTGTTTTGTTTTGTTTTTTAGACAGAGTCTCGCTCTGTCACTCAGGCTGGAGTGCAGTGGCAAGACTTTGGCTCACTGCAAGCTCTGCCTCCCAGGTTCATGCCATTCTCCTGCCTCAGCCTCCCAAGGAGCTGGGACTACCAGTGCCCGCCACCACGGCCGGCTCATTTTTTTGTATTTTTAGTAGAGACAGAGTTTCACCATTATAGCCAGGATGGTCTCGATCTCCTGACCTCGTGATTCACTCACCTCGGCCTCCCAAAGTGCTGGGATTACAGGCGTGAGCCACCGCGCCCGGCCAGGGTTTTTTTAATGTGTGCATTTGCATTTCATATCTTGTCATTAGTGATGTATTCCTCTTTAATCTGGAAATAGAAAAACTGTCATAAATAGGGCCCAAATTCCAAAAGCAAGTTAAATATTAATACATTTAGCTACATAAAAAAAATCTGAATGACTTACACATGTCAAAAAAGCACCATAAACAAAGACAAAGAACAATCTGAAGAAAACATTTGCTGATTATATTCCAGAAAAACATAGCTAATACAAAGAGCTCCTAAGTATATGTATGGTTTCAATTATTGTTGTATAAAATTAAAAAGTGAAAAAATTAAAATAGAAAAACACAAATCCCTAAAAAATTCAATCAAATTGAAGCAAATTAACTGTACATCAAACTGATGACACAAGCAATAAAAGAAATAATTCGGAGATTGCTGGCAGGATGGCCCAATAGGAACAGCTCTGGTCTGCAGTTCCCAGCGAGGCTGATGCACAAGGCAGGTGATTTCTGCATTTCCAACTGAGGTAACCAGTTCATCTCATTGAGACTGACCGGACAGTGGGTGCAGCCCATAGAGGGCGAGCCGAAGCAGGGTGGGGCGTCGCCTCACCTGGGAAGTGCAAGGGGTCAGGGAACTCCCTCTCCTGGCAAAGGGAAGCCATTAGAAACTGTGCTGTGAGGAACAGTGCACTCTGGCCCAGATACTGTACTTTTCCCACAGTCTTCACAACTGCAGACCAGGAGATTCCCTCTTGTGCCTACGCCACCAGGACCCTGGGTTTCAAGCACAAAACTGGGTCGCTGTTTGGGCAGACACTGAGCTAGCTGCAGGAGTTTTTTGTTTATTTGTTTGTTTTTTCATATCCCAGGGGTGCCTGGAATGCCAGCAAGACAGAACTGTTCACTTCCCTGGAAAGGCGGCTTAAGCCAGGGAGCCAAGTGGTCTGGCTTGGCAGGTCCCACCCCCATGGAGTCCAGCAAGCTAAGATCCACTAGCTTGAAATTCTCGCTGCCAGCACAGCAGTCTGAGTTTGACCTGGGATGCCAGAGCTTGGTGTGGGGAGGAGCGTCCACCATTACTGAGGCTTGAGTAGGTGGTTTTACCCTCACAGTGTAAACAAAGCCACTCAGAAGATCAAACTGGGTGGAGCCAACTGCAGCTCAGCAAGGCTGCTGTGGCTAGACTGCCTCTCTAGATTCCTTTCTGGGCAGAGCATCTCTGAAAAAAAAAGGCAGCAGCCCCAGTAAGGGGTTAATAGATAAAACCCCTAAATCCCTGGGACAGAGCACCCGGGGGAAGGGGTGGCTATGGGCTCAGCTTCAGCAGACTTAAACATCCCTGCCTGATAGCTCTGAAGAGAGCAGTGCATCTCCCAGCACAGGGTTTGAGCTCTGCTAAGGGTCAGACTGCCTCCTTGAGTGGGTCCATGGCCCCCATGTCTCATGATTGGGTGACACCTCCCAGTAGGGGCTGACTGACACCTCATACAGGAGATCTCTGGCTGGCATCTGGCAGGCACCACTCTGGGATGAAGCTTCCAAAGGAAGGAACAGGCAGCAATCTTTGCTGTTCTACAGCCTCTGCTGGTGATACCCAGGCAAACAGGGTCTGGAGTCTACCTCCAGCAAACTCCAGCAGATCTGTAGCAGAGGAGCCTGACTGCTAGAAGGAAGACTAACAAACAGAAAGGAATAGCATCAACATCAACAAAAAGGACATCCACTCAGACACTCCATCTGAAGGTCACCAAGTTCAAAGACCAAAGGTAGAAACATCCAAGAAGATGGGGAGAAACCAATGCAAAAAGGCTGAAAATCCAAAAACCAGAATGCCTCTTCTCCAAAGGATCACAACTCCTCACCAGCAAGGGAACAAAACTGGATGGAGAATGAGTTTGATGAATTGACAGAAGTAGGCTTCAGAAGGTGGGTAATAACAAACTCCTCCGAGCCAAAGGAGCATGTTCTAATCCAATGCAAGGAAGCTAAGAACCTTGAAAAAAGGTTAGATGAATTGCTAACTAGAATAACCAGTTTAGAGAAGAACATACATGACCTGATGGAGCTGAAAAACACAGCAAAAGAACTTTGTGAAGCAAACACAGGTACCAATAGCCGAAACAATCAAGCAGAAGAAGGGATATCAGAGATTGCAGGTTAACTTAATGAAATAAAGCAAGCGGACAAGATTAGAGAAAAAATAATGAAAAGAAATGGGACTCCAAGAAATACGGGACAACGTGAAAAAACCAAATCTACATTTGACTGGTGTATACCTGAAAGTGATGGGGAGAATGGAACCAAGTTAAAAAACACTCTTCAGGATATTATCCAGGAGAACTTCCCCAACCAGCAACATTCAAATTCAGGATATACAGAGAACACCACAAAGATACTCCTTGAGAAGAGCACCCTCAAGACACATAATCATCAGATTCACCAAGGTTGAAATGAAGGAAAAAATGTTAAGTGCAGCCAGAGAGAAAGGCCGGGTAACCCACAAAGGGAAGCCCATCAGACTAACAGCGGATCTCTTGGTAGAAACCCTACAAGTCAGAAGAGAGTGGGGGCCAATATTCAACATTCTTAAAGAAAAGAATTTTCAACCCAGAATTTCATATCCAGCCAAACTAAGCTTCATAAACAAAAGAGAAAATTCTTTACAGACAAGCAAATGCTGAGAGATTTTGTCACCACCAGGCCTGCCTTAGAAGAGCTCCTAAAGGAAGCACTAAATACGGAAAGGTATAACTGGTACCAGCCACTGCAAAAACATACCAAACTGTAAAGACCATAGATGCTATGAAGAAACTGCATCAACTAATAGGCAAAATAACCAACTAGCATCATAATGACTGGATCAATTCACACATAACAAGATTAACCTTAAATGTAAATGGGTTAAATGCCCCAATTAAGAGAAACAGACTGGCAAATTGGATAAAGAGTCAAGACCCATCAGTGTGCTGTATTCAGGAGCCCCATCTCACATGCAAAGACACACATAGGCTCAAAAAAAAAGGGATGGAGGAATATTTACCAAGCAAATGGAAAGAAAAAAAAAAAAAGCAGGGGTTGCAATCCTAGTCTCTGATAAAAAAAGACTTTAAAATAACAAAGATCAAAAGAGACAAAGATGGGCATTACATAATGGTAAAGGGATTAATGCAATAAGAACTAACTATCCTAATTATATATGCACCCAATACAGGAGCACCCAGATTCATAAAGCAAGTTCTTAGAGACCTACAAAGACCCAGACTCTTAGACTCCCACACAAAAACAGTGAGAGACTTTAACGCCCCCCTGTCAATATTAGACAGATTAATGAAACAGAAAATTAACAAGGATATTCAGGACTTGAACTCAGCTCTGGACCAAGCTGACCTAATAGACATCTATACAACTCTCCACCCGAAATCAACAGAATATACATTCTTGTCAGCATCACATCGCATTTATTCTAAAATCAGCTACATAATTGTAAGTAAAACACTCCTCAGCAAATGCAAAAGAACAGAAATCATAACAAACAGTCTCTCAGACCACAGTGCAATCAAATTAGAACTTAGGATTAAGAAACTCACTCAAAACCATACAACTACATGGAAACTGAAAACCTGCTCCTGAATAACTACTGGGTAAATAACAAAATTAAGGCAGAAATAAAGAAGTTATTTGAAACCAATGAAAACAAAGACATAATGTACCACAATCACTGGGACACATTTAAAGCAGTGTGTAG